CCCATTATTTATCTTCCTTCTGTTTTTATTCAGGTGTGTACATTTTTGTTTTTCTCTCACCTTTTACATTTACAGCCCTGGATGTCATTATGGAAGGTAGTCAGTGGTGACATACACACCGTGTCCCACTGAGAAAGACAGACAGAGAGAGAGAGAGAGATGGAAGAAAGAAGCAGGGAGGAGGGAGAGACCGGCGGTTCCACTGTTACAGTTCAGAATCTGTGGAGGATTCAAACAAACACTGAATCTCTGGATGCTGGGCTGCTGGAGCTCAGCGCTGCGGAGAGAGAAACCTAATGGTACGGATGCAACACCACAGCTGTATGCACATTTAATGAATAGTTCACCCAAAAAATTAACATCCTGGCATCATTTACTCACCCTCATGTTGTTCCAAACCTGTATGACTGTACTTCTTTTGCGGAAAGACAAAAAAGTGTTTTTTGAAAAATGTCCAAGCTGCTCTTTTACATACAGTACAATACGTCAAAATACAGGGAGTGGGCAGGGGTTGTCAAGCTCTGAAATGTATAAAAAATGCCATAAAAATAGTCAATATGACTCGTGCACCATATTGGAAACCTTCTGATAGTTTTGTGTGAGGGGCCATTCAACATTTTAGCTTTTATTTCTCATTAATGCTTTTGTGCATTCAAACATTTCAGCAAAGCTCAAAGCTATGGTAAAAATCATAAAGTGCATGAGTCACTGCAGCAAGCATAAAACATCATTATTTAAAATAACTCATTTGAACTTGAGCACCATATTTTTTAGAATGGCACGTCATGTGCGAGATGCAAAAGATGATCGAAGACGTTTTATGTTTTAATTTGAGCACGGTGTCTGCTAGATCAGGGTGTACAATCCTGAGGCCCAATGTTCTGCACAGTGTAGCTCCAAGCAGCTCACCAACACACTGCCTGGAAGTTTCTAGTGAACTTTAAATTCTTGATTACTTTTGTAGCGTCTGGACCACTCCAACACACAATATATATTTTGTTAGCTAGATTTCACAAATACTTTGTAACACCCCAGGACGCCAGAACAAGACCCTGGTTTCATGGTAACCCGATACATTTACAACCTTGTGGAATGCGAGCCGACTACTTAGCTGCATTCTCCAGAAACAAAGGGACACAAATGCACAGGAGAAATGGACTTTTCTACTAATTAATTCATAGGAAAACCTTCTTTGAATGAACACCCATTTTCTTCAGGCCAGTGTGTATATTATTGCTGTGTTGTATTTAATCTGTTGTGTTCAGGTGTGTTTAATTAGGGTTGAAACTAAACTCTGCAGGAGAGCTGTGAGTGATAGAAGTGCAGTATGGTCATGGATTGTTTCTAATTAATATTTCTAAAAAAAAAAAAACGAAAACATGCACGAATGTGAATTGATGAATACCATCAGGATTTCATGGGATTTCCGTATTAAATGGCATTAGATTTTGCATTAAAAAAACAAACAATAATACTCTTACAGTTTCTCTTTTTAAACTTTATTTGTAGACTTCAAAAACTTTATTTGTAGACTTCAAAAACCAATCGATAGTGCATTCCTGGACTTGCAGGTAAACATAACCAGTTCGCAGGTCTTCTGAGATCCGGAGGAAGTATGTACAGTACTTCCCAAAGAGGCAATGAATGTCAAAGTCTCTCTCTCTCCAGAACAGGCGAGAAAAAAGTAAAAAGAAACCAGTGGATTTTCGCTCTCTTTCGGGACAGTAGGGTACCCTCACCCCTTCTTCTTCCTCATCTGCAAAATCCCACTTGTCATTCTCTCCAGACCCACCACTGACAACCTTTCTTTCTGGAGGTCAAAGGGCAAACCCTGAATCCTCAGACAGGCAATCAGACAAAAAACAAGGCTAAGACATCACAAATAAGCCAAGATACAAGAGGAAAACTGAACATATACGCATGTACAAAGTTGCCCCTCACAATGTTAAATATATTTTTCCATAAATCTCTTTTATTTGTCCTTCTCATTTGCTCTCTCACATATCGATAAAAACAGTTTAATAAAGTAAAGCTTTCGACAACCATTTTAATATGTCTTTAAACTGCACAAGTCTACTTTGACATTCAACAAACACATACCTCAAGTGACATCCAAGAAAAAGTAAAGTACAGTAAGTTTATTTGCTTGTCCATAAACCAGTTTGTGCTTTTGTTGTTGTCTGTTGACAACAGTCAGATGTTTCTCCATCTGTGTAGAAAGAGATCCAGCACATGGGGACATATGGACCACAGCTGAAAGAAGCAAAGGTGATGACCGAGATTCTTTACAGGACATCAGCGTTGTCAGCATTGCTCTGTTATAGACAAAATTACCTTTACCATTTACAGAAATCAAAAGAACATATCAAAGGTAGGGTGAAGAGAGAACTGCCACAATACAGGGACAAGAGACAGAGCTGGAAAGGAGGAAAGCGTCAGAACAGCCAACGCACTATGGCAATTCGTAACTATTTTACATTTTGGTAGCTAATTCGTATAATCTCATTTGTACTTTTTCACATGATCATCTTGCGTCCCACTGAAGGCTAGTTTTTGGGTGGGATGCGGGATGGACCTTAATGCTTACATTTTTGTAAAAATCTCACGCTCTTTGCCAGTCATACAAATTCATGTGAAATCAGCACTTTTCGTAAAATAGTTACGTTTCCTCATGAGATTGGATTAGAACAGCACAGAAAGAGATCACTTGATTTCTCTAGCCAATCGTTCATGACTACACTATCAAGAGTTGATTTTGAGCATTAAAAGGTGCACTCAATGGCCTGGTTTCACAGGCTTAGACTAAGTCAGGACTAGGCAATAGTTCAATTAGGACATTTAAGTAATTTTTATTAACGTGCCTTAGAAAAAAAACATTACTGGTGTGTGCATTTTGAGAAAAAACAGGCACTGATATATTAATATCAGTCAGTGCAAGTTTCTTTCAGTTAAAACAGCTCAGATTTACACTTTAGTCTGGGACTAGGCTTAAGCCTTGTCTGTGAAACCCGGGGAATAAGTTTTTGTTCGTGTTTCACCAGTTCTTTTTCATCCCAGAGAAGCATATACTGACACCTACTGGTATGGATGTATGAAGTTTGTGTATTAACTGCTGTTCACTTTATTTTCATTCATTTCTGTTTTGTAAAGTGCCTTGAGCACTGAGAAAGTACTATATAATAATTAACTAATAATTGTTAATATTGATATTGTTGTCTTTATTACTATTAGACACGGAAGCCCCATGAGAAGGCAACCCGCTCCATGTGGAATAAATCAGAAGATATGACTGGAGTATTGATTGCATGTGAGTATTTATCATTTTAATTATATTCGCTAAATTATATTCTACTCACTGTACTGTATGTATGAAACTTTTTTTAAATTAAGAAAAAGTAACTGAATGCACCTTATTTGAACACCATATTCCTCAAGTGTCACTGCAACAAAGAGATTTGGTTGGATGGTCTGCTATGTGTTCTGAATCTCATCAGTGCGTCTTCTCATCTGAAACCATGGCACAACATCCCACTGACACAATTAAATCTCTTATATTAGGTCAGATATAAGATCTTCCCATCTCCTCAAAGCCATTAATCCAAACTAGACTCAGAATGGCATGTGCTGTCAAAGCCGTCTTCACATTCAAATGAATCCTCTGGAGATGCTGCCTCAATGAACAAAGCTCAAAAAGCATAACATTAAGAAGAGGACAAACGCGTAACGCTTAAAGGTTGTCAAAACTACAATTCTCAGAGTCAACAGAGCATTTTTGTCCTTTTACTTAGCACTGATCTTTTGGGGTAGATATATTATGTACGTTTAGCAGACCTCTATCAAGCACTTCTTCCCGTTTCTTGTAGAAACACAAGAGTTTTCAATATGGCTCCATTAGTTGATAATATTCCAACAGGCTGCATAACCATTGTGACATCATCAGGATGCACTCTTCTCTTCAGGGGGAGGGGTTATGTTATGAGACAGTCCAATACATGGGAAATGGACAACAAGGTTCACAAAACACCTGCTAATATTAGTACAGAGGATGTTGTACCTTTGAGAAAGGGATAGATAACAACTTGCTCAAACCACTATAGTACAGCAAACCGAGAGGCGAAACAAAATCGATGTCAAAGGACAAATTACAAACACTTGAATTAGCCCTTGAATTGAAACCGTTCAGAAATTGAGTTGAGATATGCCCAAATTCAAGAGAGAGAAAAAGGAGACAGAAAGTAACAGGCGTTGACAGGTGAGTGTGAATCGAACATCGACCTCTCCGCTTCTCTTCTGTATTGAGTAGAGAGAGTGCTTCTCAATGGATCAGAGTGAGTTCAAAGGTCACTAGCCTAATCGTTGACCTTCATCTTCTGCACTTAAGTAGCAGTGTGGCTTTGATTCGTGTGCTTTCACTCTATTCTCTACCAACAGATTCAATTCTATGTTAATATCCTCATTCGATCATGTCATTTTAAACTGTAATGCCAGAGCCCCATTGTTTATATCATTATAACAGGGCATTTCTTCTTTTTCCATCTTCGTGGTCTTTGTTCATCAGTCAGTTTCTCAATACCTGGGAAATGAAAAGCACCGGGGATGTTGGATTTAAAGGGACAGAGAAATCTCAGAGCGAGAAAAGACAGTCGCGGGGTGCTGTGCTGTAGCTGTGCCCGTTTCGAGTCTGCTTTCAGAGAAGGGCGCAGCACATGTATCCTGGTTGCCCAAGGGATGGGGGGAATTGTGGGAAAAAGGGGAGAAGATTTATTTTTTTTTATCAGGGTTAGGGTGTGGCATTGAGGGGGGGGGGGTCGGGCCGAATTAACCCAATGACTCTTTCCCACTCTCACGCACCTGCTGACCGGTCTTACTCACCTTCATCTCGGTCACTTGGATGAGTGGCA